CAGCAACTATTTGCATAATATTTACATTGTATGAGGTATTATAAGAATCTAGAGGTGATTTAAAGTATACAGCAGGATGTGTGTAGGTTATATCAAATACTATGCCATTTCATATAAGAGACTTGAACATCTGAAGATTTTGGTGTCCGGGGGAGTCCTGGAACTAGTCCCCTACAGATACCGAGGGGCAACTGTACTTACATTCATTACGTTTGCCTTCCGCGGTCATGTTGTGTTTATCCCAAAAGCACAGAAGTGGATTAGTGACTCACAGTGATTCGTTGATGTATAAAAATAGTGCAGAGAGACTTCCACTTTTAGCTCTAATATGTAAAGAGCCTGGAAAGTGTCACTGTCATCCTCAAAATAAGAAAAAGATAGACCAAAAAGAAAAAAACCCTGACTTCATTATAGATTTGGATCCATCAGAGAGCTGAGGTCTCAGGGCGAAGTCCCATCCTCAAACCTGGAGACTCGGGTACGTCCAGGGAGACACAGTAATTAAGATCTGCTCAGCTGGAATAGAAGTCATGAGCCATCGACCGGAAGGAATATTTAAACGACAGACTTGACGAGCTGTTGGAGGTTGAGTGTATTAGGGACCCTCCTACTTTCATGGACCGTCCTAGGGGTTTTGCCAGATTTCTCATGGCGGGGGGAGGGGGGTATCCAACAAAGACCTCCTCATGACCCGCACAGAAGGAGGGAGAGACGAGCGGTTGTAAACCACACTGAGAGGCTTCTCGGTAACAGAGGTCGGCTCTCCAGGGAAAGGGCTCTGTCTAAACACAGTTCTGAAAATTGGGGGAAAAGATGTTCTCATCACTCCAGCCCCCTGAGGGAAATAAAAAGTCAGCGTGAGTTGGGCTCTTGGGAAAGAGAATGTTCTCCTTTTTGGAAAAGTTTAAGAAGGATTGGTAGTACTTCTTCTTTGAATGTCGGATAGAATTCATCTGTGAAGCTGTTTCATCTTGGACTACTCTTAGCTGGGAGGTTTTTAATCAGTGATTTAATCTCCTTACTGTTTATTGGTCTGTTCAGGTTTTCTATTTCTTTTTGATTCAGTTTTGGTAGGTTGTATGTTTCTAGAAATTTATTCATTGCCTCCAGGTTATCCAATTTGTTGGTGTATACGATTCCTCAAAAAATTAAACATGAAAGTATCTGATGAGCCAACAGTCCCACTCCTGAGTATACATCCAAAGGAAATAAAATTGGTATCTCAAAGAGATACCTGCACTGCCATGTTCATTGCGGTATTATTCACGATAGCCAGGGTATGGAAACAAATGTCAATGGATGGATGAAATTTGGTATGCGTGGGCAATGGAATATTATTCATCCTTAAAGAAGGAAATCTTGCCATTTGCAAAAACATGGATGAGCCCGGAGGACATTATGTTAAGTGAAACAAGCCAGACACAGAAAGACAAGTACTGCTCAAATGTCCTCACTTACGTGTGTGACCTAAAATGATCAAACTCATAGAAGCAGAGAATGGAATGTGGTCGCCAGAGGCTAGGATGAGGGGGGGAATCAGGGAGCTGATGGTTAAGAGACACAAAGTTTCAGTTATGCAAGATGAGTAAGTCCTGGAGATCTCATGTGCAGCAATAGGACCATAGCTAAAACTATACTGCATACTTAAATTTTGCTAAAAGAATAGATCTTCAGTGTTTTCACCACACATACACACAAAAGTAGAAAGAAAGAAAATGATAACCATGTAAGGTGATGGATATTTTAATTAGCTTGATTATGGTGATAATTTCACGATGGGTACATACATCAAAACATGAAGTTGCATATCTTATCCTGAATTTTTTTTTTTGCAGGGGGAGGTAATTAGGTTTACTTATTTCTTTCTTTCTTGGAGGTACTGGGGATTGAACCCAGGACCTCGTGCATGCTAAGCACGTGCTCTACCTCCCTCAAGTTGTGTATCTTAAATAGATCTAGTTTTTATTTGTCAATTATACCTCAGTAAAACTGGGGGAAAAAAACCCTGTGAGCTATTAAGGCTCACAAAGGCATGGATGAATCTTAAATGTGTATTGCTAAGTGAAAGAAGCTAATCTGGAAAGGCTGTATACCATATCATTATAGATGACATTCTGGAAGAGGCAAAACCA